CAGGGAAGAGCAAGAAGCAGCCTAGGGCACAAGAGGTGGGCATGACCTGGGGATGATAAGAGGGGGTCAAGCAGCAGCAGCGGGGACACTAGGGTCCAGGGGCAGGATGCACTAATTATGGCAAGAGGAGAGGGTGTAGAAGAGGCAAGAGGAGGGATCAGGTAGGGCTTGGCCAAGCAGACTTAAGGGCTCTGCCCTGAGATCCATGCCAGAGCAGCAGGACAGACTGAGCTTCTCACCATATACCAGCCTGGGTGGAGGTTGGCCCTGCAAGACCGAGCTAGGCTACAGGCCCCCCCACCCCACCCCATCCCCCCACCATGGGCAGCCTTGGAGACAGGAAGCCAGGTGTGTCACTCAAGGGTCTACATTGGACAAGACACTTGTGTATTTGTATTTCTTCTCCCCTTCAGCACATCCACTGAAATGTCCTTGCTCCTTTACAGTCTCAGGCTCCATCTCTGTCTGTCCGTCTCCCTCCGCTATGGCACTTCCTTCCTCTCCCTCCCTCCCTCCCTCTTTAACTACAGATCTTATTTCTCCCGATCCCACTCTGCAGAGCTACTGTGTGAGTGTGTTCGTGTGTTGTTGAAGGAGCATCCTCAGGAGGATGGGGGAGTGGGGATGTCGGAGATCATTCTTCCTTCTCTTTCCCTCCCTGGCCAGCTGGAAATGTGCCGTGTGACCATCCGATCTGATGGTCACATCAGATTGACTGAACTTTCAGACTTGACAGAAGGAGGCTTTAAAAAAAAAACAAAAAAACAAAACAAAACAAAAAACTCAAGCTTTCTTGGCTCTTAGCCTCTTGAGAGATAAGGGAAAGGATCTGATTGCAGGGAAGTGGAGTCCAGCTCCCTGATTCCGGCTGCCAGGGGCAATCAACTGTGAGCTGAAAGCTCCATCTTGAAAACCCCGAGTGGAATGAAAAACCGTGAGCACACGAGAACAGAGACTCAGGAGTCCTAGAGCCCAGACTGGGTGGGAAACTCAGCAGCAGCAGAGATCAGAGGGGAAGAAAGGGTCACCCTTCTCACAACTTCCGCTGGACGCCTGCCCTGCATCCCCCAGGCAGGCTCCTCCTTCGTGCCACCAGCCGGCCTCCCTGGGGTCGCCTGGTGCAGCTCCACCCTGTGCCAGCTCCTTCTTGCAGACGCACTGATGTCTCAGTGACATCTTCCCAGACCCTGCTCCCTCAGCCTCCTGGCTCTCAGGGCCCTATCATGGGCCACCCAGGGTCCCCTCACCGCCACCTCCCCTTGCCCTGCCAATGGCCACGTGCAGGCCTCCAGCTAGGCCACGAGGGCATGCCAAAGGGACGCCAGTGGCACACAGAGCAAAGGCAAAGCCACTTGGGATGGCTTCAGGGGCCCCTGGAGGCTGCAGGACACATAATTCTCCTGACAAGGGCTCTAACCTGAGACTCAACTGCGGAGCATGAAAAGCCTGTGGGGACATTTTCTAGTGAGAAGAGGAAGCAGTGCTCTTTAAGGTGCCAGTCTGCCTTCCCTGACCACTGCTAATCTGATTTTCTCATATTCAAAACATAAAACCAGACAAAGTATCCGGAGAGTGGCAATGCCAACCTCGTCTCCTGCAGCCACTGTTCCCATCCTCATTGGCCCGGCGACATTTGCTGTCCTGCTGCAGCCCTTGAGGGGGGTGGGGGCAGGAGGACCTGGATCAGAAGTGTAGTGTACCAAGGGTGCATGGGGGCTGGACAACCGCCGCTCGGTGTCACTGGAACCTAATGGGAGGGCAGCCAGTAGATGGGAGGGCAAGTGGGCTGCCCCAGGTGGACTGTCAGGCCTGGGCAGAGTAAGGGGACAGTCCCAATTCCAGAAGGAGTTCTGCCTTCTCCTGGGGAGGTCTGACCAGGGTGGGAATGTGGCCAGGGCAGAAAGGACAAGCACACACAGTACCTCACCACTGGAACCTCAGAGACCACCACCCCAAACACACATACACACACACACACACACACACACACACGCACGCACGCACGCACACACACACATTGGACTCTGACCCTTATTCCCCACAGTGGCTATTATCTCTTTACACTTGGATTTATAAGCCTAGTGACCTACAAATAATTTTATTCTTTCACCTACTATTCACTTGACCATGAAGTCAATGAGCTCTCGGCCAAACAGTTAAGCCTGCCACTGCTGGGGTTCACTCTTCAAAAACCACAGCACAGTTTTAAGCCAAATTGTGCTTTTCCTATTTGAAAAAAAAAAATCCCCCACATCAATGGGTGATAACCACATGCAAATTCCTAATGAAAAACGCATAACCCCAGTTTAACCAAAGTCCAAAATATTTTCCAGTTGTTTCAGAAAAAAAGAAATTTAATTTCTCGCCTTTGTCAAATACTACTACTGAGAAAAGTTATAGAAAGTAAGATATTGTTGTCAAATTTCAAAATGATAACCAACCTAGTACCAAATGAAATTATTTTATCCCATTTGCAGTATTAAAGAGTACAGAACTCTCTAATAGGAAATCAGAGTCTGTTTTTTTTTTTTTAATTTCCAAAGCTTGATCGTAGGGGTTTGCAAGTCTTTGTAGTTTCTACTTTATTTCAAAGGGGGCTTATGAGCCCTTTTCCCACCTCGTATCAATACCTGACCTTTGAAGATTAAAACTGAGGTTAACTATCCTTCCCCATTATGCCAGCATTGCCAATTATACTCAGCACCAACTTCAGATGTTACATCTGAACTAAAAACGGCCCTGGCTAAAAATAGCCATCATCGGTGACAGGAATGGCCAGTGTTCTCTGCCTGCTTAATAATAGCCCATTAGGCTACTGTGTGAAACAGGCAGATGAATCCCTCACCAAAGAGGATCTCCCGCTTCACCCACCATGGGATGCCAAAAACTGCTGCCTATCAGTTGCTGAGATAGCTTTCATCGGTTAAAAATAGATCTGTTCACAAGCATGAGCTGCACACTACATTTGCAGAACCCAACGGCACCACACAGTTTTGGAACAAGGACCCCAGAGACACTGGACTCAGAGAAGATTCCACAAACCATAGCATTAGTCTCCTCTCTCCATCTTTGCCAACACTATAGGACAATTTCGGCGATGCTGCGGTAGATAATCTATTTGAAATCTACCCTGTGCAGCCAATAGCATCCTTCTGGGTTTCCCTCAAAATGCCTCCATGCAATTTACACTAAAATAATTCTCCTTCTTGCTGAAAAACTACCTTAATTGCTTAAAACAATTATACTGTATTGTAATTATCACACTACCTTGTAATTATTTGCTTTGAGAATGTGTCTCTCCCCCTCCCCCGCCTTTCTCCACCTCCAGATGTGAGCTCTTTGGAAGAGTTCCCTGTGGCCTCAGTATCCACTATGTGCCTGGTACGTTGAAAAGAACTCAGTAGCTTGGGTTGAATGAGTAAATATGAACCGAAGCTTTGCCAAGCACTTCTTCCTTCTCCGATCCTGTTATGACCCCCATAACTTAAGTGATATTTAAGTGGTTATTCAACAAGGCTTATCACGAATCTTGAACATCTACTATGGGCTTCTGTTACAGTAGACCAAGGTAAAGCAATCATTTTAGTCATTTATGTATTTGACCCCATAAGTATCTACCTCCAAAAAAAGAAATTAACAACCCTGATTATGAGTATCTCTAAGGCAAATCTCACATTAAAATTAAGGAAGTATGTGATTTGCCTACCTCAATATCTAGTACATGGGAATGCACTTGGAACATTAGCTCTGTCCCCATGCTCTGGTTAGTATCTCTAGCAATGTCAAAGCCTGAAGGCAACAATTTGTTAATGCCTTCCCAGCCACTGATACCTTCCCTATCATTTCAGGCCAGTGGCAGTAATAATCATCCAGACACATGGTCACAATCTTCCCCTTCCTTCTCTCCCCCCCTCCAAAACCAATGAATCATTGCTCTGGTTTAATTTTACTTGTCTCTCCCACCTCCCTATGGTTGTTTGATTAAAGCCAAACTAACAAGTGGAATATGCCCAGTGGAACCCATGCATGCAAAAAATAACTGGGCAACAATAAAGGGAAGAAAGAGGTCTTCACCCTTCTTCGAAGCTGATGAAACAATTTAACCAACAATATAAGACCCTCCTTTTTTTTTAGCCTTGTGACATTATGTGGGGGGTAAACTGCAATAGGAAAGAACCGACAAATTCAAGAGAGGCAGCACAGAGCTTAAGAATAGTAAGAATGTGTTCCCATGAAGAGCTATGCCAGCAGCAAACGAGAACATCCCTGACACAGACAAGCAGGATATCCCCATGGAACAGAAAAATAAAAATAGGCAACTGTTTGCTCATTAAGTCATCCTCCTATCATGATTTAAGTCTCAGAGGGTCCCTGACCAAGCAACTCCCTAAACAATGGAGGCAGATATTCTGATCTTTGCTGAGTCATCACATGCGAACTGGGTCCCAAAGCCTCTCCTTCTTGGGAAAACAGAAACATGTAAGTTGAGGATGAGATCCTACCCCTTGGCAACCCACCCAGATGCATACTGCCAACACTTTGCAGTATGCAACCCCCAGCTGGCCTCGCCGGGTAGAAAGGATAACACGAGGGATTTTACAGGTTGCCATGATAATACTCCAAGCAACTCGGAGACACGCTGAAGTTAGATCCCAGGAGCTGGTTTTGTTCGGTAGGTGAAATCTAAAACATCTACCTGGGTAATGACATAAGATTACTAATCGTTGTCTGTTGGTTGTTTTTTCGTTTCTTGGGTTGTTTTGGGGGGGTTTTCATTTTTAATTTTAGAAGCAAACTCTTTAAATCTAATGCAATCAAAACCAACTGAGGCAATTCTGAGCCCCAGGCATGGACAGTTTAAGGAATTACCATCCTGCTCTGAGACTGTCCACAGGCCTAAGAGGTACACCCATACTGTCCGGAACAAGCTGTTGATGGGCATCCAAACCTCCGTGACCTCCAAAGGTCACCACCAAAGAAAGAAACTCAGGTGTACTTACGAAGGGCGTGCCACTCATCCTGACGGATGGTCTTCGTGATGTTGAAAGTGAGGTTCCTGGGGATGGTGGCTGAGGAGTAGTGGTATTTGATGTATGTGCATCGTTCAATTTCTCCTGGCAAAGAGAGACAGGAAATCAAACATTAATGAGGTGGCAACCATGTCTGGGGCAGTTTCTGGGATCCATTTTTCTGTCCTGAGGAAAGAGACTGGTTTCATATTAGGCCTGGTGACACCTATAGTTTAGACAAGGCAGTAACTTTGACCCCAAAAAGTAAGGTCCACTCTTAAGAGAGTAGAACTGAAGTCAAACACCATCGATTTAGACAGAAAAAAATACCTCTCTGGCATCATTCAGAGATGGGCAGAGTCAAAGTTTAGGCCAATCGAAGCTTGCTAAGAAAGTAGTGTCCGTGGTTTTTTTTAACCTTAAGAAAATCAACTTTCAAGTCATGGGAAGAGATTTGGCATCAAGAGCCAGTAACAAGGATGCCTGTTCAGCCAGTTAAGTGACCAACTTCAGCTCAGTCATGATCTCCTGGTTCGTGAGTTGGAGCCCCACGTCAGGCTCTGCACTGGGGGTATGGAGCCTGCTTGGGATTCTCTCTCCCTCTTTCTCTGGCCCTCCCCCATTTGTGCAAGCTCGCTCTCTCTCTCAAAATAAATAAATAAACTTTAAAAAAAAAGAGAGAGAGAGAGACAGTAACACTTTGTACCCATAGACTGATACAGAAGAGGCTTTGCTTAATGATGTCATCTGTGCCTGTAGCACATACGATCTTATGGAATGGTGAGCCACAGAGGCCTCTTCCCTCTTCTCTCTCCCATGTCCTAACCTCATCTCTGAGTACAAAGCACTCAAATCAACGTCCATCTCCTTGAACCAGCCTCTTCTTCTCAAACGTTTTGGAAAAAAATCGGGCTCCTTCACACACTCAACACCTGGTCCAGTAGAACCTTTACTGCTAAGTTAGCAATGCATGCTTTGCTAGTCAATTATCAAAGTAAGTCTGTATCATGGAGCAGAGTGTTTCAAAGTGTGGTCCGGGGACATCGGCATCCTCTGGGAACTTGCTAGAAATCCAATTTCCCAGACCCAACCCTAGACCTGCTGAACCAGAAACCCAAAGGTAGAGCTGCAATCTGAATTTTAAGAAGCCCTCCAGGTGATTCTGTTGTGCACCTAAGTTTGAGAACCACAGCCTCTGAGAATCTAACAGAATTACCAACGTATTCACTCATAAATCCACCACGTTTGCAAATTCCCAAAGAAAGGAACAATTGGAGGAGTTCCTTCCTTGCTACCTTTGGTCTCCTGCAGCCATGTTGGCTGATGCTTGCATATCTGAGGGATATTGAAACCCAGTGTCAGGGATCGCAAAGAATCCGGAAAGAAGGGATTTTTAAAGGTTAGGGGTTTTAAAATTTGGTTTTGCACCCGAATAGATTTTGATGGTAATCCATTTTGCACCCCACTGATTTTCAATTTATAAGTGGTGGCACATGATTGAATCGCTTGACCCCTGGCTCACTGTCAGCAGGGAACCTGGCAGTTGGTGGAGCGCAGTCATTTAGACGGTGCCTCTCGTGAAACCGATGCCTTATCGTAAATCATATCTGGCCAACTGCCCAACTGCCAGTTATTGGCAGACACGCCCCCAATGGGACAGACACTGTTCAAAGAGCCAAAGTTTGGGGGAAAGTGTTGTACATGCTTTTCCTTTAATTTTTCACTTCCTCCACCTTTGTCCCCTTAGCTTATAAGTGTCCTGAAGTCTCTCACATATGCCCCCAGCATTCACCCTGACCACATCCCCAGTCTTCCTTCTTCCCTAACTTCCTATCTTGCTATGCCTCTTGGAAAAGTGGTCTATCAGACCACCTCAAGTCACCCTCATACCTAAACCCACATGCTCTAATCTCCCTAACAATCTCCGCGAATAGCATCACCTCGCATCCATTCTACACATAATAAATCCCCCTGCCACCCCCAATGCCCCCCCACCTCTAGTGGGGCCCCTTCCATCTGACATTCATTGGTCACCAAATTCTGTCAGTTCTACCTCAGAAATGTCTGTGGAGGGGCAACTGGGTGGCTCAGTTGGCTGAGCGGCTGACTCTGGCTGAGGTCATGATCTCACAATGCATAGGTTCAAATCCCACATTAGGCTCCGTCCTGACAGTGTGGAGCCCGTTTGGGATTCTCTCTCCATCCTCTCTCTGCCCTTCCACCACTCGTGTTTTCTCTCTCTCAAAATAAATAAGCTTTAAAAAAGGTGGGGGGGCACCTGGGTGGCTCAGTCAGTTAAGCATTCTCTTCAGCTCAGGTCATGGTCTCAAGGTTCTTGAGTTCAAGCCCCATGTCAGGCTCTGTGCTGACAGCTTGGAGCCTGGAGCCTGCTTCAGATTCTGTGTCTCCCTCTCTTTCTGCCTCTCCCTCCCTCCCTCCCTCTCTCACCGCCCCCCCCCCCAAAATAAACACTGAAAAAAATTTAAAAATAGAAAATAAAAACAAAGAAATGTCCCTGGAAGCCAGCCCATCCTCTGTGCCCTCACCCTCTACCGTAGTTATGTGAATACAACAACCCAGCTAAACAAACGGCCACATTTACTGAAGATTTACTTGCAGGAAAGGCTTGCCAATGGTTTCATACATAAACCAACAGTTTCCAACTCTACTCATGTTGTCGCACACACAGAAGAGATGTGCACAAGGCTCCCCGGGATAGAGATGCGGCTGCCTGGGCCCTGTTGGCCTCCCTGGGAGGGAGCCAACCTTCCCAACCCACTTGTAATCCTGCCTCTTCTGTACTCATCCCCATGGCAGAAAACTCTGTTACGGATGTGGCCTTACTTAATCCTCAATACCACCCAGTTACGTAGTGTTCCTATCATCGGCAGGATATGATCCTATTTCACAAATGAGAAAATAGAGGCTCAAGAAGATAAGGTGACTTGCCCCAGGAAATAGCGGCACCAGGATTAGAACCCAGAATCTCCTGACCAGGGCTTCCCTCCACACCGCTGCCCAACTGTCTTCCAGAAAGGAAACTGTGGTCTCTCCCACACACAGGATAAACCTCACGCTCCTCAGGCAGGAAGGCCCCACCAGGTGGCCTGCCCTGCCCCGAAGAGCCCATATCCGTCAGGATTTTGCTCCTGATACACACCCAATCCTCGCAGGAAGTGGCCAAAGTGGCAGCTCCTCAGCAAAGCCTGCCTCGCACGGAAGCCTGTGCCCGGGAACAGAGGAGCAGCAGTGGTTCAGCCTAGACCCTCCTCGCTCCTCCCTGCGCTCCTGCCCTCCTGCGGCAGGCACTGAACAGGCTGGGATTTATCTGTTCACATGCCTCACTCCCCCACTAGATTACAAGTTCCTCAAGGGCAGGGGCCGGTCTCGTCCACTCGTCTCTACCTCCCCGGCCCCGGCACAGGGTGCGCACCAGTAACATGCGCTCTGAAGGAAGGAAGGAATAATACCAGGCACCCTCTGGAAAACCGCAGTGGGCAAGGAATCCAACTGCTTCTGCTCTGTGCAAGGGACAAAAATAATTAAGGCAAATCAGAATATAATGAACGAAAGGAGGGCACTGTTGCAGAACTCTGTCTGCGTCTACAGCAAACACCTCTTCGCTTTCCAGACAACGTAAGGAGAGGTTTATTTGATCACAGTGAGGTAGGAAAAAAACCACGTAGGTACAGAACAACCTCTCGCTGCACTTTGCAAATGTAATCCAAGGGGCAACTAGGTCAGTTTGTTTCCTGTTTTTGTTTTAATTTTTTTCAGTGTTTATTTTTGAGAGACAGAGTGTGAGCAGGGGAAGGGCAGAGAGAGAAGGAGACAGAACCCAAAGCAGGCTCCAGGCTCTGAGCTGTCAGCACAGAGACCGATGTGGGGCTCGAACCCACACACTGTGGGATCATGACCTGAGCGGAAGTCAGACGCTTAACCGACTGAGCCACCCAGGCACCCTTGTTTTTGTTTTGTTTTTAAGAAGAAAGACCAGAGGAAAATATAAAGGGTAGAGAACTGTAACAAGAATACCACTAGTAACTACTTGAACAAACCAAGATCCCACAGGAAATGGCCAGATTGGTGCCCATCACTAAGGTCTGAGAAAGTATCTGATTTCTTGGCTCAGATCAGGTTCTCTCAGGCTCAAAACAAACTCCACAAGTGGCCACAGGCTCCCAGAAGACCTCGGCCACCTCCCGTGGTCTCCCTCACCCAGCCCACCCAGCCACCCGACACTTGGCAAGAGCAGGCAGGTGGAAAGAGCTGACCGACAGGCACCGCAGGTGACCAGCCAGAGAGCCTGGCTAAAGCTGCCGGAGAGGCCCCGCTGGAGGCCTCCCTGTTTGCTTTGCCTCAGGGATGCAAGCATCCTGTCTTTGACAGCAATTAAATTTGAAAGACTCAAATATTGCCTAAGAAAGGCAAAATATTTATCCATGTGTCTGCAGGTCCTGTCAGTGTGCTGGGCTTTTGTAAATACAGGCACCATCTGGGCACCAAATTCGTGTGCCCAGAATGTGGGCTTCCCAATACGAATAGGTTTTCCTGCAACAATCCAGGGGGGCCACCTGGGAGGCAGTGGAGAAGCGCCTGGGCTTCCCCGGAAAGAAGGTCAAACCTGTCTTCCTGACCCCTACGTTCCAGCCCAGAGACCTCAGCCTGGATAGGACAGGGGCACCCTCAGGAGTGAGGACACCATAAGCCTTCATCTGCGCCGTGCCTTCTGAGCTGGTGACCCTCCCATCTGCCCCGTCATGCCCCCAGAGAGACAGGATACCCAGATGCGTAGTTAAGAAGAGTTTCAAAACTGGGAAATTTGCAAAGCGAGCACAGGGTGTAAAGAGGCCAGCAACGGGTGATCCAGGGACCTACGGCTGGCGACAGAAGGGAGTGAGAGAACCCCAAGCCTGGAGAGGCAGAGGGAGTCGGTACCAGACCCTAGAAAGAGTGGCCACTTGAAGAGAGGTGATATGACCTTGGGCAGAGGGTCACAGCCAAGCCACGGTGAGGTGGCTGAGAATAAACACACACCCCCTCCTTCTCCCTCCCCCTCCCCCAGGAGCTGAATCCACCAGAAGCTGGAAGGGGTGGGGGTCCAG